CGCGCCGAACAGCGCCAGCATGGGCAGATCGAAATAGCCGGTGGGCGCGATCGTCAGCCCGGCCATGGCCAGTATCGCCACGCCATGGGCAGCCATCGCGATGCTTCGCGACGAACAGCGACGCGACACCGCCATCCAGCCGGGAAGCACCAGCGACTGGGCGAGGCTGATCGTCAGCAGCGCGGACCGGCCCAGCCCGGTCGTCCCGTACGGCGGCGCCATAAAAGGGCAAGGCCCGCTGGAACAGCGGCGCCATCGCGGGCCGACGGCGATCAGGCGCAGGAGTTGCCGGAACGGCCGATTACGCCCATAGCTGCGCAACGGCTGTCGCGATCAGGAATGGCCCGCGCCCGCCGATGGCGGCGTCAGGCCATGCGTCGCCCACAAGGCGATAAACAGCGTGCCTACATAGAGGCCTGCCCCTGATCAGCGCAGCGGCGGCGAGCGACTGGCGCTGCGCCACGGGCCAGCCAGCGACAGGCTGAACCCCGAGGCCAGCGCCAGCAAAGCGACGCCCGAGGCGCTGAATAACAGCCGGAATCCCGATACCCGCGCGGCATCGCCGGGTGCACGGGAACACGGATCAACAGGTGTTATGACCGACATCGCACAATGAATAGCCGATCCGGCAGGCGATGATCGCGACCGCCACCGCCCACATGAGCTGGGCAGAACGAAGATCAACCAGAAGCCAATACCGCATAACGGCGCCCCGCCAGCACCAGCTTCGCCGGGCCATTCGCCGCCCCTGATAATCCGTCCAACGGGCAATGGCGAGATCGAACGCCGCGTCCCAGCAGCGAGACGGCAAGCAGCATCCCCCGCCATCAGCGGGCCGAACCCCCGCGATCGACACCATATAGAACAGCATGATGCTCTCGACTGGTCCACACCACGCTTTTGCCGAGATTGGCGACGCTATAGCCGAGCTGGATCGCGGGAATGCGATTGCAGGGGCGGTGTGTCGGAGCCGGGATCGCCATGATCCCCGCCCCTAGCCGCCCTGACTTTCATTTATTTGACACTACGCAAATATATCGATCCGCCATGGCCCACCCTCATCGTCCGCCAATCCTGTTGAACGAGCCGCAACGCCGCCTCCTGATGCAGTTGCGGATCGAGGGGCCACGCCCCGCACGCGCTGGCCCAGCTATTAAGCATGAACGGCGCGACGATGACGCGCCTGACCCAGTCGCTGCTGGCGCTGGACCTGATCGGAACTGACCCGCATGATGCGCAGGTGCGCGGGCGGCCGATGGTGCCGCTGACCGTCTGCGGCCGGGGCGGCTGGGCGATCGGTGCGACCGCATCCCGCTGGCTGGAACTGGTGATCGTCGATTTCCGGGGGCGGCCGCTGGTCCATGACACGGCTCCGTTCGACAGCCCGACCCGCGCGTCTTCGCGCAAAGCGTCGAGCGCGGTTGCAGGTGCTGGCCGCGACCCATGGCTTCATGCGCGGCCGGTTCTGGGCATGGGCGGGCGGTGCCGGGCCATGCCGTTCCCGGCGACCGCAACCGCCGGATCGTCGTCGACCGGGTGGCCGGGTGGAATGAGGTGCCGCTCGCCGACATGCTGGGCGACGCGCTGGGCATGCCGGTGTGGATCGAATGACGCCAGCGCGGCGGCGCTGGCCGAATATTATCAGGAGGGGGGTCATCGGCCGCTACCGATCGGTCCTGACGCTGTTCACAGGGCACGGCATCGGCGGCGGGCTGATCGCCGAACGCGACCTGTTCTGGGCGAACACGGCAATGCCGGGGAGTTGGACGGCTGTTTCCAGCCATGGCGAGCGGCCATCGGGGACGACCTGCTCCGCGTCCTGCGCGAGGCGGGTGTCGATCGATTCGCTCGCCGATATCGAGGGCCTGCTCAATGCACAGGCGCCGCTGATCGCCACTGGACCGATCGGGTGATCGAGCAGTTGGACCCGGGCCGTCATCAGCGGCACCGTCTCTGGCTCGATCCCGGCGCGATCATCGTCTCCGGCGCGCTGCCCCTCGCGCTGCTCCGGCGGATCGCGGAGGGTTGTCGGTTCGGTCACGCACCGCAGCGATGGCTATCGATCCACTTTGCCCATGATCCATGCCTCGTCGATCGGCAGCCGGGCGGTGGTGATCGGCGCGGCGATGATCCTGTGCATGCCGTCACCGCCCATCAGGCGGATTTAATTACATGTAAGCAAATAAAACTGTCATCGATTGCAGCCGCCCCCTCATCCAGACCATCGGGGTTTTACCATGAAGAACAGATTTGTTGGTGGGCGCGGCTGTGGCGTCACGCCGATCCCTGACCAGCCCGTATCGGCCCAGACCGGGCGGCCGCGACGACCGCCAAGCCCGACGCGGACGCGCCGGCGCAAGATGAGGCCCATTCGACGTCATCGTCACCGGCTCAGCCCGTCAGCAGCGTCGCTTCGACGTGTCCTACGCCGTCAATTCGCTGTCGCAGACCGATATCCAAAAGCTCGCGCCCAAGAGCACGACCGACCTGATCGGCACGCTGCCCGGCATCCATGTCGAGGCGACCGGCGGCGAGGTGCAGAACATCACCCGCGTGCGCGGCATTCCCACCGATCGCGGCTTCGCTGGCCACCAGCAGGACGGCCTGCCGCTGTTCCGGGGAACTGGACGGCTGGTTCTTCAACCAAAGCGACGGCATGAACCGCCTCGACCTGATGACCGACCGGATCGAGGTGGTGCGCGGCGGCCCCTCGCCCATCTATGCCAGCACCGCCGCCGCCATCGCCAATGTCATCACCGTGACCGGCACCGCGCTACGACGCGCGGCAAGGTGCGGGCGACGCTCGGCGATACCGGCTATTACCGCCTCGACGCCTATCGGGCAGGGCCGCTGAACGACGACACCTATTATGCGGTCGGCGGCTTTCTGCGCTATCATGACGGCTATCGCGATTCCGGCTTTCCCCAGCGATCGCGGCGGTCAGATCCGCGCCAATATCAAGCATGACCCTGAACGGCTTCATCTGCTGTCGGGGCAATATACCGACGACCACAATGTCTTCTATCTGTCGATCCCGACCAACGATCCGCGCAATCCGTCGGTCAGCCTGAACCGCTATCGACTATTTCACCGGCACGCTGAACACGCCCGCGCTGCGCAATGTCAGCATCGGTTATCGCGATGCCTTGGGCACGATCCAGACCCAGCGCGGCGACTGCCAATGGTCGCCACATGCAGTTCGGCAATGTCGCGGTCGATTATGAAGGCGATCATGGCGACTGGCACGTCTCCGCCAAGGGCGGCTTGACGATGGGCAAGGTGCATTTCGACGCCTTCTATTCGACCTCCAACCCGGTCGATGCGAAGACCTTCGCCGGCAATTACCTCGCCGCCGCGACCACCGCCTTCGGGCCGAACGTCGCGCGCATGGGGGTACAGCATCGCGGGCAGCAGCGCCCTGACCGCCTATGATCCCTATGCCGCGTCCTGGCTCGGTCATGCAGGCGCAGTATCGCTCGATCCAGACCGACTTCTACGCGACGCAAGGCGACCTGTCGGTCACGCGCAAGTTCGAGACCGGTATCGGCCATGACATCCGCATAGGCACCTATGGCTCGCTCTGGGGCCAGAAGATGTTCACCGCGCCAGAATTATCTGGTTCAGGTGAAGTCGCAGCCCCAGACGCTGGACCTCGCGGCCTATTCGGCGAACGGCGCGGTGCTGGGCTATGTCACCGACAATGGCTCGCTCAACGATGCGGTGTCGCTCAACGCCGGCAAGTCGATGGCCAGATGATCGCCCTTTACGGCACCGACACCGGACATCACCGACCGGCTGCGCTTCGATGCGGGCATCCGCCACGAATGGTATAGCTATAGCGGCCTTGCCCGCCTGACCGGCTCTTATAATCTGGGCAATGCGACGACGCTGGCGACACAGCACGACGCGCTATTTTACGGGCGCGGTCGGCACGCTGCGGCTGACATGTCGGCGAGCAACTGGACGGTCGGCGCCAATTACGATGTGAACGGTCATATCGGCATGTATCTGCGCGCCTCGCAGCTCGAAGTACCGTCCAACACCAAGATCGCCTTCAGCTATCCCACGCCGCCCGCGATCGCGACCAAGGCCAACCAATACGAAGCCGGCGTCAAGATCGATATGCCGGGTCGTATCCTCTACGTCACCGGCTTCTACACGAAGTTCGATCCGCTCAATGCGAGCTTCGCCGGGTTCAACCGGCCACGGGCCGCGCCGACGTGACCACGACCTTCATCGGCACCGCCGAGACCAAGGGCATGGAGGCGGACGCCACGCCTGAAGCTGGCAGGCCCCTTCTCGCTCGCCGGCTCGGTGACGTGGCAGCGATCCGCGCTACCTGAACTGTTCAGCAACACCGGCCTCGACGGCAGCGGCGGTCGAGGCAAGCAGATCATCCGCCAGCCCAAGTTCCTGAACGTGCGGCCCACCGTCGACTTCCAGATCGGCGGCGCGGAGGTCAGCCTTTACGGCCGGTACGACTATGTCGGACGTCGCTATACCGACTTCTTCAACTCCACCGATCTGCCCGCCTATGGCGCGTTCAGGCTGGGCGGGATCGTGTCGTCAGGCGCGTGGCAGTTCCAGTTGGTCGGCGACAACATCACCAATGCCCACGGCTTCACCGAGGGCAACACGGCGGGCGACCGGTTCCGGCGAGGGCGTGCCGACCGCGATCTTCGGCCGGCCGCTGTTCGGCCGCAACGTGCGCCTGATCGTCAGCCGCAAATGGTGGAGCCGCGCCTGACCCTCTCGACAAGGTGGGCGGCCCGATACGGCCGCCCGTCCTCCCGTCCTTTCCGAAAGCCCGTCATGCACCGTCCGCTTCTGGCCCTTGTCGCCGCCTGTTCCGCCTGCACCGCCGCCCCATGCCTCGCCCATCGACACGATGCACCGCATCCGTGATCCGCTGGGCGGCCTGATCGTCATCGCTCATCGCGGCTGTCACGAGGCGGCTTCAGGGGCCTGGCCACAGCACGCCTGAAAACTCGCCCGCCGCGCTAATGCAATGCGTGGCGCTGGGGGGGCCGATGTGATGGAAACCGATGTGCGGCGCAGCCGACGGTCATCTCGTCATCATGCATGACGAGCGCGTCGATCGGACGACCGACGGAACCGGCAAGATCGCCGACCTGACCTCGCGCAGTTGAAGGCGCTTCGGCTGCGTCAGGACGAAAGGTGGCCCGACGGCCGCGATCACGGACGAGCGTGTCCAGACGCTCGACGAACTCTGGCGCTCGCCAGGACCGGATCGTCCTCAACCTCGACGTGAAAGATGCCATTTATGGCGAGGTCGTCGATGCCGTGCACCGCGCAGGCGCGCAGGACCGGGTGATCGAAGACCTTCGCCGGGTCGCCTCGGTGCCGCTCGCCGCCATCGCCCCTATGACCGCGTGCCGTTCGCACCGATCCTGATCACCGCCGATCCGGACGCGGTGGATGTACCCCCGGATCATCGACCAGCAGATGCGCGGGCGGTCAAGCCGATCGCCGTCGAATTGCCGGTGCTGCCGGTCACCACCCTGCCCTCGGTCCTGCGCCGCGCCAAGGCGCTGGGCGTCCCGGTATGGATCAACACGCTGTTCCACGGCTTCGTCACCGGCATGGGCGGCGATCCCGAGGCGCGTCGCGATCCGGCCGCCGTCTGGGGCCGTCTGGCGGATATGGGGGTCCGGCTGTTCCAGACCGATGCGGTGGAGACGCTGCTCGATTATCGTGCCCGCCGCGCGTGACGCCATGAAGTGACGCGAGCCTCCGGCCCCGCCGTTCAAGGCGCGTTCGATCTGTGGGAGCCCGATCGCTCCAGTGCGTTTCTGACCCGAAATGAGGGAGTAACGCATGTATAAGCGACTGGGCACGCCGTTGGTGTTGGGATTGCTGCTGGCGGCTTGCAGCGGTCAGGGAGCGCAGGACCAGAACGGATCTTCCGCGACGAATGAGGCGGCGGGCCCCCGCGCGGTGGAGCGACCGGACCAAGACCCAGTTGCGTCAGGCGATCGATGCGCGTGCCGCACGGGCCTCGATCATATGACCTTCAATATCTCGTCCGGCGATGACGGCGCCGTGACCGATGAGGCGCTGCGCTTCGCCTCGGCGCTGGCGCGCGGGGCGACCGATCCGACCGTCTCTACGAAGTCTATACCATTCCCGGGCCATCGCCCGATCTGAAGCCGGGGCTGGCCAACGCGCTGCGCTCCGGGCGATCTGACCAAATGGCTCGATGGCCTTGCGCCGCAGGACAGCAACTACAAGAAGCCGTCCGACGCCTATCTCAAGCTGAAGCAACAGCCGCAGGGCAATGACGGCCGTGTCGTCGACACCGGCGAGGCCATCAAACCGGGGGCAAGCGATCCCCGGATGCCCGCGATCGTGCGGGAACTGGTCATCCTCGATTACCTCACCCCGATGCGGCGCAGGGGATCGCTATACGCCGGCGATCGGCGATGCCGTGCGCCGGATGCAAGCCGATTACGGAATGAAGCCCGACGGATCATCGGCAATGAGGCACTAGCCATTCTCAACATGTCGGATGCCGATCGCGCGCGGGCCATCGCGGTCGCGATGGAACGGCTCCGGTGGCTGGAACGCACCCCGCCCGCGACGCGGATCGACGTCAATATCGCGGCCGCGCGGCTGAGCTATTGGCGGACGGCAAGATCGTCGACAGCCGCCGGGTCGTCGTCGGCGAGGCGGATACCGAGACGCCGCAGCTGGGCTCGCCCATCTTCCGGCTGGTGGCCAATCCGACTGGACCGTGCCCCGCTCGATCCAGAAGAAGAACTGGCGCAAAGGGCGCCGGCTATCTGCGCGCGAACAATATGGAATTGAAGGACGGCTGGATCGTCCAGCAGCCCGGGCCTAAAACTCGCTCGGTCTGGCCAAGTTCGACATGCAGAATGACCATGCCATCTATCTGCACGACACGCCGGCTGCCGCTGTTCGCCATGGTCCAGCGCCAGCGTAGCCATGGCTGTGTCCGCGTCGAGGATGCGCTGGGCTTGCCGAGATGCTGGCCAGGACGAGGGCGTGGTGGACGAATGGCACCGGCGCTCGCGAGACGGGCAAGGAGACCTTCGTCAAGCTGCCGCGCCAGATCCCGGTCCGGTTGCTCTACCAGACCGTATTGTTCGACAAGGACGGCGAGCCGATCGTCCGCAACGATCCCTATGGCTGGGACGATCGGGTCGGCTCCGCGCTCGGCTTCAAGGCCGGCAAGGCACTACGCGTCCAAAGCGGCGCGGCTGATGTCGGGCCCTGATCAGGCGGAGAAGGGATTGGCAAGGCACGATCGGGTGCCTTGCCCCGGGCCGTGGGGAACCACGTGCCCATGGGGCAAAATCCCCTATCGAAAACAGGCGGATGACGCGCCGCATAATGCAATCGATGACAGTGATCGGGTTATCCCGTTTTGCCGAATGAACCCGGATTTCTAAGCCGGCCCCCTGACGAAAACGACAATCAAAGGGTCTTATGCCGATTGCACCCATTTCCCTGATCGCTCTGGCGGCCGCACTCGCCGGCGCGCCGCAGCAGGTCGAAGGTCCGAAGCCGAACAAGGCCGCCACCGCCGCCAAGACCGTCACCCAGATCCGCCCGCGCCGGTCGTCGCCAAGCCCGGCGGCATGACCAACCGCGACTGGTGGCCCAGCCGCCTCGACCTGACGGCGCTGCGCCAGCATGAGGACACGCGCGCCAATCCGTACGGCGCCGATTATGACTATGTGAAGGAATTCAACAGCCCGGACATGGCGGCGGTCAAGGCCGACATCCGCAAGGTCCTGCACACCTCACAGCCCGTGGCCGTCCGACTATGGCAATTACGGCCCCTTCTTCATCCGCATGGCCTCGCACAGCGCGGGCACCTACCGCGCGGGCGACGGGCGCGGCGGCTCGGACAGTGGCGAGCAGCGTTTCGACCCGCTCAACAGCTGGCCCGACAATGTCGCTCGGACAAGGCCCGCCGCCCGTGTGGCCGATCAAGCGAAATATGGCCGCAAGCTCAGCTGGGGCGACCTGATGGTGCTCAGCGGCAATGTCGCGCTGGAGGATATGGGCTTCAAGACGGTCGGCTTCGCTGGCGGTCGCGTCGACGCCCGGCAGCCCGACGTCGTCTTCTGGGGCCCCGAGACCAAAATGATAGGCACCGAGCGCTCCACCCGGACGGCTCGCTGGAAGCGTCCGCTGGCGGCGACCACCATGGGCCCTCATCTACGTCAACCTGGAAGGACCGAACGGCAACCACGATCCGATCGGCGCCGCCGCCGACATCCGCCGCGCCTTCGGCAACATGGCGATGAACGACGAGGAGACGCTGGCGCTGATCGCGGGCGGCCATACCTTCGGCAAGGCGTATGGCGCGCATGCCCAAAAAGGCTTGCCTCGGCGTCGAGCCCCACCGCCGGCGCGATCGAGCAGCAGGGCATGGGCTGGGCCAACAGCGTGGCAAGGGCAATGCCGAGGACACGATCACTTCGGGTCTCGAAGGCGCTGTCGGCCACGCCGACCCAGTTCACCACCCAATATATCGACAATCTCCTGAACTTCGATTGGGTGAAGACCAAGAGCCCGGCGGGCGCGACCCAGTGGGTGCCGACCGATCCGGCGGCGGCGCAGCTCGTCCCCGACGCGCATCTGGCCGGCGTGCGCCACGCACCGATCATGTTCACCACCGACATGGCGCTGAAGGATGATCCCGCTTTCCGCAAGATCCCGGAAAGCTGGCAGAAGAATCCTGATCTGTTTGCCCAGGCCTTTGCCCGCGCCCGGTTCAAGCTGACCCACCGCGATCTGGGGCCGCGCGGCCGCTATCTGGGTAAAGATATTCCGGGCGAGACCTATAACTGGCAGGATCCGCTTCCGGCCGCCAGCTTCGCACCCATCGGTGCCGAGGATCAGGCCAAACTGAAGGCGATGGTGCTCGCCTCGGGCCTGTCGGGTCCGGCGCTGATCCGTGCCGCCCGGGCCTCGGCCTCGACCTTCCGCAGCACCGACATGCGCGGCGGGGCGAACGGCGCGGGTGCGACTCGATCCGCAGGGGTTGGGCGGTCAACGATCCGGCCGAACTGAAGACAGTGCTGACCAGCTGACCGCGATCCAGAAGGATTTCGCGCGCAGCGGACGCCGGTGTCGATGGCCGACTTGATCGTGCTGGGCGGCAACGCGGCGGTCGAGCGGGCGGCGCAGGCCGGCGGCGTTCCGGTCAGCATCCCCTTCACCCCCGGCCGTGTCGATGCCACCTGTGCAGACCGACCCCACCTCCTTCGCCCATCTGGAACCGGTCGCCGACGGCTTCCGCAACTATTACGGGCCCAAGGCGGAGGTCAGCGCGCCTGTGGCGCTGGTCGACAAGGCCGATGCGCTCGACCTGACCGTGCCGGAAATGACCGTGCTGGTCGGCGGGATGCGCGCGCTGAACGCCAATAGCGGCGGGTCGAAGAACGGCGTGCTGACCACCCGTCCGGGGACTCTCAGCAACGACTTCTTCGTCAATTTGCTGACTATGGACACGGTGTGGTCCAAGTCGGCGACGCCGGGCCTGTATGAGGGCAAGGACCGAGCGACCGGCGCGCCCGCTGACGGCGACGCCGGTCGACCTGATCTTCGGGTCGAACAGCGAATTGCGCGCCGTGGCGGAGGTCTATGCCGCCGACGACGCCAAGGAAAAGTTCGTGAACGACTTCGTCGCGGTATGGACGAAGGTCATGAACGCCGATCGCTTCTGGATCGAAAAGGGGCCGGCGAGGTTTGCCTTGCCGGCCCCCCATTTCCTCCCGTGCAGGGGCGGAAGAGTTTAGATCAGCTTGAGGATCGCCTGCGCGGTCTCGGAGATGTCCCGAGCAATCAGCGTCGGCTGCGGAATGCCTTCCAGAGGATAGCCGCGTTCACACCCCCCGCGTGATCAACGCCGCCTTCCACCGAAGGATTGTGCCCCGATCGTATCCCAGACATGCGCGGCGACCAGCCATGTCGTCTTCGGATCGGCCTCCATCTCCTTCTGCACCAGCGCATAGGTAGCAGACGCGGGCTTGAAGCAGCGCACGGTATCGACCGTGAATTTCCTGTCGAACAATTCGCTAAGCCCGGCCTTGTCGAGCGGATCAGGACCGCTGCTCTTCGGTGAATTGGTCAGCGTGACCAGCGAACACCCCGCCTCTTGCAGAAGCCTCAACCCGGCCGCGACGTCACCGTGCACCGGCATGTCGCGCAACAGGCCCTTTTTGAGTTCCTCGACATCGCTATCGGCAATAGCCACCGTGGATCCGGCCGAGCATGTGCAGGATGCCACCGCCCAGCTCTCCAAAGGGCGATAGGAGCCCGTCAACGACAGCGACTGCGAATAGAGGATCAACTGGGCGAACCATTCCCGCATCCGCCCGGAGCACCGAACAGGCGGGCGAAGAGCGGTTCGAGCGTGTCGATGTCGAGCAGGGTCTCATTGACGTCGAACACGATCAGCGGACGTTTCGTCAAACGCGAGCCCTCTCACATAAAAAACTGCGCCACCAACTCGGCGGCGCAGGCGAAGTTCCGGACTGCCGGCCGGGGTGCACCGCCGGCTCCCCACGCTCAGTCTTCGATACGGCGGCGGAAGGTCTCCGGCAGGAAAGACGATGCCGATCGCCAGCGTGATCGCAGCCAGCACGACCGGATACCAGAGGCCGTAATAGATATTACCGGTCGCCGCGACCATGGCGAAGGCGGTGGTGGGCAGGAAGCCGCCGAACCAGCCATTGCCGAT